AATAAAGCATTTGAAGTTCTTAGAGGGTAATCAAGCTCAAATAATTAGGAAAAATATTCAAATTAACAACAAACAACTTTTTAGTAGCTTATTTCATAACAAATCTCTTAAACCAGAAGAAACAATAATATTAACCGCGATTTCAGCTGAAAATAAAGAAAAATCTAGAAGAGAGTACACTCTAAAAAAAAATCCGTTAAAACATCAACGGAGTAACTCCGTTGACAGTAACTCCGTTAAACTCCGTAAAGGATACAGATTTAATTGATACAAATTAAGGGAGTAATCCGTTGTTTTACAACGGATTACTCCTTTAAATATAATATAACAGAATAACTTTGTTAAGTTAACGGAGTTCAAGCGTGTAAAAAGGAGTTCATAAATATTACTTTGAACACTTAATATTTATTTGAAACTAAAAACATTTAATTAGTGTATTAAATTTTAATTAGTGAATATTATCATGTGTCTTTAAGGTTAGTTATTTTCATTATTAATGTCATTTCTTAATTAAGTTGAAATTTAACTTACATTAATTAATTAATTAAATGTATAACTTAACGTTTTATACATTTACAGAATGTCTGTGCTAATCAAAGTAATTTCTTCTGATCGAATTATTAAGAAGTTAGTTGCCATTAATAACAGTGAAGAATTTGCTGCAAAAGGTGACAATATAAAAATATTTTAAAACAAACATGCAATGTTTTAAATGCTCAATTTATTTTTCAGATTTATTCGATCTTTTTTACCATTTTCGAAATTTTCATGGCTTAGCTACAAGGGGATCTGAAATACGCTGTATGTTTAATAACTGTCCACGAGTATTCCTAAACTTTAGTAAGTTAAAAAAGCATTTCCAGCACCATCATTCTGTTGTGCCAGTTTAAACTTTTGGCTTCAACAATAATGAAAGTTGCAGCAACAACTTACTAAGTGAGTCACATGAAGATGCATTTGACACAAATTTTCCAAGTGACCTAGATCAAGATTGTAATAATGCCACAATTGTTAACTCTAATTCTACAACAAGAGACAGTATTGAAGTATCTGTTATGAAGTTTGTATCAGAAATAACTTCAAAACCAAACATCACGTTAGCTAATTCGCAGCTTGTTATGGAAAATATGTCTTGCCTAATTAATGATGTTGCTGTTTATGCTTCAAAGACAATAAAAACTTTAGCAATTAATTTGAAACTAGCTCCAACTAATGAATTTGTTTTTGATGCGATAAAAGATGTCGAAAGTATGTTTAGCATTTTCAATAAAACTGACACTATATATAAAAGAAACAAATGGCTAAAAGAACATGGGTACTATATTGAGGCAACAGAAATATCACTGGGTATACGTGAAGAGCAAAAATACTCTATGGCATTGCAATCGATGCATTCTGTTTTAGTAGAGGACAAATGCTACGTTGTACCTATTGATATCCTACTTGCCAAGATATTGGAACAAGCTTCATCAAGGATTGCTTTCCCACAGTGCACACCAAGTTCACTCCCAAATAAAATACAAGATTTTGTTGATACACATACTTTTCACCATCATTCATTTCTTCAACGGCACCAAAAAACATTTTTGCTACACTTTTTTATTGATGCGTTTGAACTAACTAATGTGTGTATCAGAATGTAGAAACAATAACTACAATGCTTCAGAATCTAGCATTAAGCATGGTTGTCCTTTCAATTGTTTGTCACAGTTTCACTGCATAGACCAGAATGCAGTTGACTGCATGCATGATGTATTAGAAGGTGTTGTACCTTTAGAAATATGCCTGGTTTTGCAATCACTGATAGACAAAAAGTATTTTCTGCTTGCAGATATCAACAATGTAATCAATAATTATAACTATTCATTGGCTGACAAAAACAGCAAACCACCAGAAGTAAACTTAAAAAATATTCGCATTCAAGCTGCTGAGTCATGGTGTTTGATAAGAAATCTGCCTTTAATGATTGGAAACCTAATTCCAGAAGGTGATGCTCATTGGAGACTTCTACTACTGTTACTTTATTGCATGGATGCAATGTTTGCACCAACTATAACTGTTGGCCTCATTCATCAGCTAGAGTTTAATTTGGAGGAACATCATGCCCAATTTAAAAACTTATATCCTGAGAAGAGACTTATTCCAAAACATCATTTTATGCTACATTATCCAGAATTTATGGCAAAGTATGGACCTTTAAGCAGGTACTGGTGTATGCGTTTTGAGGCAAAGCATCGGTTTGCTAAAGAACTTGCTTCTGTTGTTCGCAATTTTAAAAACATTTGCAAAACTATTATGCATCGTAGTCAACTCAAACTAGCAAATACATTGTTTAGTGGGTCTTTGTATACAGACTATGTACAAATCGGCATATGTGATACAGTAATTGTAGGCAATTTGCAATCAGCAGTATCTAATAGTTTGCGCACAGTTTTAAACGTGGACAATTGTGATGAAATAAATGTTGCTCATTCAGTAAAATTTGGCTGTTTTTAAGCCGGGTTGTGTTTTTTTATCATGGCATCATGGAAAGTCATCCTCAGTTTGGAGAGCTAAAATGCATTGTTTTTCTGGCAAAACAAATATACTTTGTATGCTATCTATTTGAAACATTACATTTTCATGAACATTTTCATTCTTTTGAAGTTAAAAAATCTAACAATCCAAATACACTGCTTGTTTTACATACAAATCAGCTCAAAGACTATCATCCATACAATGTCACATTAATAGCCGGAGAAGACCGCAAATATAGCAACTTTGTAAATCTGAGATACACAATTTTTTAGAATAAAAATATTGTAGAAATATTGATTGTTTTTTTATTTATGCATTACAAACTGAAAAATATATAAACCTTTAGTTATTAAATATGTATAATTGTTTAATTGTATATGAAGTTGTTACTGTGCATTCATATATATTCACTTTAACTTGTCTGAATTTTTTTGTGTTGTGTATATAAAAAGCTAAATGACTGTGTATTGTTATTCCAGTGCGTTGCAAGTTTGGTTTGAAATCAGATCAACTTGTTAGCTTTGTCTACGAAAATGATGGCACTGAAGTTGATGAAGTTGATTTTGAAATAATAAAACAATTAGCAGAATCAAACACAATTCTCATTCTACTCATAGATGGTCAGCAGTGGACTAATGCTGTTTTGGTAAATTAATTTAAATTACAACTAAAGACTGCTACTGTGTAAATTCTTTAATAAACTTTTTTTCATCATAAATACTTTGTAATATTTTGAAATTAGCATTTTCTAGTGTGTTTTAACTTTATAAACTGTTTTTATAAATTTTAAAAAAATCATTTGTTTTAATACAGACAAAATCAAATTCACCATTAGTGTTGCCTTCGTTGCAGCCAAATCAAACTACAATAACTTCTAGTATTACACTCTCAGAATCTAGTGTTTCTGTTAACAACAGCCATATAATGAAAGGTGCAAATGAGGCGTTTGTTTCAGCTGATTCGAGTAAAGCCTTTCTTGCGCAACACCCTGTAAGTACAATACTTAAATAGTTTTTACATTCATACATAGTTGTTCGTATTTTTACGTAATAATTTTTTAGCAATAATTTTACTTTACTTGCTTTTTTAGCAATAAAAGTTTTCAAGGTTTTGTCAACAGTATTTTTTTAATGAATAGCAATATAATGTATTACTTTATAGAGTACTTGTCAATATACTGAAGAGATTGAATCTGGTAAAGTTTCAATCTCTACTAGACAGCACATCATTCGAGTTGTTGTGCACAAAATGATGAGTGTGTATGGTAGTTATCCTGATCGATATCAAAAGATTTTAGTGGCAGCAGTGCTAAGTGAGGCACTGGTACTTCCAGCATGCATTTTTTATGATTCTACTAATTATCATGGCTTCCTGGAGAGAGGATTGGAAAATGCTAGAAGAAAGTTACCTGGTGTTTATTAAAACTAGTTAAATTAATTGAATATAAATTTAACTGTAGATGCTTACCAACTTTTTTTTATATTAGCAACTTGCTTTGTAACCTCCTTGTTGTGTGTTATTGTGATGTAACTTCTCCACTGTATGTCTCGATTGCAAATAATTCATTTTAGTTACTAAAAGTTTATTTGAATCATTGCCTTATTTTGTGTCATACAAGCAGCTACATTTACAAGTTATGTTTTCTTTTGTATACTAGGATCAGAAAAAAAGTTTGTTTGGTCTCGTAAAAGGGGACACAGCTCAACTTGTTGTGATACAACTAAACTTGCAGGTACTGAACTTTCTCAACCAGTGGATCATGCAGTAGAATCTGAAGGGTGTCCCCGTGGTTTCATGTTTTGCGCATTATGTTTAGGTTATCTAATTATCTATATCTTGTAAAAACCTTTTGTTATAAAAAACATATATGTTGTAAAGACTTATTATTTACTAATTATTTGTTGCTAACAATTTTACTAAGTAAAATAAAATAAAAAAAGACCTAGTAATATAGGTCTTTCAAAATTATTGTTGATTATAATTTTAATATCTATATTGTTGCTCTGTGTTTTTCATATTTAAATTAATTTCAGGAATGAGCAACCTCGATGAAATTGAAAAGCTTGATTCATTATCTTCTACGCGTGTAGAAGAAATTAAGGCTTCTACAAAGTCAACGTTTTGTTTTCGGCAGAATTGGGTTCATTCAACAGATCAACCTTCATTATCCCGACTGATGGTTAAATATCCAAAGTTCAGGATTATTCCAGAGCTGGTATTTTTTTTGTCAAAATTATCTGTGGCTCTTTTTATCAGATATCAAACTTTAGTGTATAATATTCATACATGTATAAGTGATAATAAAATAGTTGTACAGATAGTTTGTTATTAATGATTTATAGCAATTAAATTGATAAGATTAATACAGTTTTAGGCATTGTATTCAAAAATATTTATTTTTAGATTGATATGGAATTTCAATTAAAATATTCAGACTGCATGGTTGATATCCTCAAAACCTTTAATCAGACTGATACAGACCTAGTATTAAAATATGCTTCACTGTCAAATAGTGATTATATCAAAGCTCTAGCTATAATGGCATCTAAAAAACATCATGGTTTGCATTAATTTTATTAAAGATATTCTTTTTTTTTGTTCGCAAATATTTTGCATAAAATTACCTTTGTATGTTTGACACTTTTACGTTTTTGTATGGTTTATATATTTGTTTTAGATTGGAAAGCTTATTATGCATGCAAGCTTTTGTGCTCGCTTCTGCGACAAGGGGGGAAACAGAAACGTTCTGCTCCAGAAGTAGCCAATGAAATCATTCGGATATGCAGTGTAAGAATTTTTTTTTTTTAGTTGATTTACAGCGCACATAATTTTTAAATTAAAAAAAAAACAAAAAATTATAATTTATAAATATATAAATACAATTTATAATAATATTGTAACCGAGATAACAAAAGTTTCATTGTAAATTTAGGCTGAGCATGGACTGCAAGATGTTGCAGAAAAGTTGGAGTCCCCTTATCCGGTAATTTTAATACAGGGGATTGAGGGTGAAAAAATTCTCTATATAAAGATTGCATTTGAAAAAACTTTGATTGAAGCCGGCACATCAATTGTAGAAGGCATCGATCGTTTATTCAAGATTTTTTGGTGTTTTAACATCGAATACCAGCCATCAACAATCATGTTCTGGCAGTTTATGCTAGATATTTATGGGCTGCAGTTCGGTTCGTTGCCTAATGGAGTGGTTGAGCTGCGATCAACACTCTCTAAATATGTTTTTACTTAAATGTATCATTTATTTATCTTAATATACATAAAGATTTACAATTTTGTTACGTGTTATTTTTATTTATTTTTACAAATGTTTTGTTGCTGTTTATGTTGTCTAAAACCCTCATCTCTAATACAAATCAGTTAAACTAATTTTTAGATAAACACTAATAAATAGTTCGTTAAGATTATAGGAGTACTTAGTTCCAAAAATAATATGGAATAAAACATCTATAACTGTTTTATTTCAGAAATTTTTTATGATAAACAGAATAGTTTTTTTTATGTTACGGAGTATTTTGTAACTTCAACGAACTATCCGTTAACATTTACGGTTACATTGTTACATTAGAGTTACGGATTGAATCCGTTAAATTATTATTCCGTTAAATTAACGGAGTACTCCGTTGGTGCTAGAATGAGGGAGTACTCCGTAACCAATTCCGTTGATTTTAACGGGATTTTTTTTAGAGTGTACAATTAGATCCTACACGGTCTTGATGAATTAAATAAATCAACTGAAGAAAATATACAACATGAAAATGAACAAATAAAAAAGATCTTTAATTATTTGAAGATCAATGAATCATTTATTAAACGACACCACCAAAGCCTATTCAGTCTGGCATAATTTCATATAACTCGTTGTAATTTTATCGCAAAGCACTCTGGGATGTCCTGCCGGACCTCAGAATTTTATAATATTAAGTAGCGAATAGTTATTTTTGTATGTACTTAAAATAATTTTTATCTTAGTTATAACAATTGTGCTTCTATAAACTGTGGAAGTAAGAGTGGAAAAAACTATAAAGATATTTCATTTTTTCGTTTTCCTAACGACGAAAAAAGGCAAGTTAATTCATATATTATTTATAATAACTTTTCTTTCATAAAAAGTTGATAAAATTATTATTGTAGTATTTTTAAACATTCTTTTATTGTTTAATTTTTAGATGTAAACAGTGGGTCATCAACTGTCGTAGGAAAGATTTAGACAAAAAAGATTTTGTATTTTTAAACAAAAACTTTTATTTGTGCAGTAGTCATTTTGAAAATACAATGTATTATTCTACAAACAATGGTGGAAAACGTTTGTTACAATCAGCAATTCCTACTATTTTTAACATAAACTTTTGTAAAAGTATTCATAACATTGAATACTGTTTCAATAAATTTCAACCAACTTCAAAGGTTACTATTAACATTGCGAGTCAAAGTTTCTAGACTACGTAAACAAGTTCGACATTTAAAATCCAAACAAAAAACCCAAAAAAACTGTGATGGGTCTATAAAACATATTTTAAATTTATCCAGGAAATACTTATCACCTATACAATTTAGTTTTTTTAAAAGTCAATTAGAAATGAGTAAATGAGTCAATAAAGGAAAACGCTGGGCAGTTTGTGACAAAGTTTTGGCTTTGCGAATTCTGTTTCATAGTCCTCAAACATTTAATGTCTTGCGAACAATATTCTATTTACCAAGTCAAACCTGTTTATTATTATTTTTGTCCCGTGTATTTTCAGATCTTCAAGAAGGATTTTCTACTCGATTGTTTTCTTTATTAAAGTTACGTGCTGATGCAATGAATCCGCTTGATCGTAATGTCAGTCTTGTTATGGATGAAATGTCATTAAAACAGCATTTAGAGTTTGATAGAAATTCTGACAGGGTTTACGGTATGAAAAATGGAAAACTTTTAAATCAGGCTCTTGTAATTATGGTTAGAGGCTTGGCAAATAAATGGAAACAACCAATAGCTTATTTTTATAATAATTCAACAATAGCAACAGCTGACTTGGCTTCTTTATTACGTGAAACCATTTCTAAGGTTCAAGAAACTGGTTTACACATTAGATGTGTAGTTTGTGATCAAGGATCTACTAATATAGCTGCCTTACGTTTGGTTGGGTTTTCCAATAATTTACCATACTTTCCTAATCCTTTCAATGATAAAAATATTCATGTTATTTTTGATCCTCCGCATTTAGTAAAAAGTATCAGAAACAATTTGCGAAGACATACCATTGACATTAATGGTGAAATAGTTTCTTGGCAACACATCCAGTCTCTTTACAATTTAGACAAAATAAACTCTGTGCGTCTAGCGCCAAAACTAACAGATAGACACTTAGACCCTGGTCCTCTTTTATCTATGAAGGTCAAACTTGCCACTCAAGTTTTTAGTTATCAGGTTGCTTCTGCATTGTATTGCTGCTCTAATACAAATTCGCTTCCTTTAAGTGTATTACCAACAGCAAGATTTGTTGAACGCATGGATACTTTATTCGATATATTGAATTTATATAAATTATATGCAGATAAACCAGCTCGATGTGCTCTAACTTTAAAAGGAGCCAGTATTTCTCAGTTGGAAGACTTAAAGCATTGGATTGAGAAATGGAAATTTTGTAATGTTAGAAGTCAAGCAAGTATATCATGTCATTGGGGTTTAAGTGTCACAATTAATAGTGTTCTAACCTTAAGTAGAGAGCTATTTTCTGAAGGTTTTCAATTTGTTTGTACTTCTCGTTTTAATCAGGACTGCATTGAAATTTTTTTTCAATTATTCGAAGCAAAGGTGGTTGGAATGACCGTCCAAATGTTAGATAATTTCGAGCTGCTTATAGAAATGCTTTATTACTTTTATCTGTAGAAAAAAGTAAATCTAATAGCAACTGTATAAAGGATTTAAATTTTGAGACAGCTTTCAATCTAAATGATTTTATGAAGTGTTGTAATCAAGCAACCACTAATTGTGGAATTTATGAAACAGAAAATAACATACCTAATGGTAAAGGAATATCTTATTTTCATCCAGGGTCATTTTATATGTTTACTGGAAAAATTTTAATGCAACCAAAGGATCAAGCCCTTTTACACATGGCTGGATGGCTTATTCAAAAGGTTAAATTATGTCATAGGTGTGCAGATGTACTATTTCTTAGTTCAGCTGACAATCCATCAGCTTTTATGTCACTAGTTTGTGAAATGGAAACAACTTTTTCAAAATTAATTGATAAATATCTTGAAAGAGATGGACTGGCCATGATTCTCATAAATAAAATAAAAAAATGTCATTTTCAGTTTTTGCACAATCAACATGAAGAACATGCGCTTTATTTGGAAAAAAACATTGTTCTGTTTTTTGTTATTACAAGAATTTTTTATTTCATAAAATTTTTAAACAGAGACATAAACCCACGCAATAAGTCAAATGCAAAAAAAATTGCACGTATTCTTCATAATTAATATATTATGATACTATTTTTTCAAATTTTTTTTTTAATAAGATGCACTAAAAATTTAAAAAAAAATTATGTAGTTTATTACAAGAATTTTTTATTTCATAAAATCTACCCAAAAAGTCCAAAAAAATAATATTGCTTCCAAATTGCAATTTCAAAAATTCACGTATTGCCCTTTGGTATATTATTATATTATTTTTTCAATTTAATCTTTGTAATGAGACTTCGTTATGTTATAATGTATATAAATAACTTTTGTTAATGTATAATAATAATAACTTTTATGTATAATAATATACTTTTATGTTAAAAAAAAATTACACTAACTTTATGTTCTACAAAACTCTTTTTGTTCTACAAAACGTTTTTTTCCCCATTATTTTATTCTTATTGAAACATTCTAATGGTAATCTTAACAAAATTGATGTATCTTAATGTTACAAAATTGAGATATCTTGAATACAAAATTGAGATATTTACAAATATCACATAAAACAAAAATGCAAAGCTAATTTAAAAAAAATAAATATTTGTGTTAGTTGCGGAAGAAGTCCGGCAGGACATCCCAGAATGCAATTTCGATCAATTAACAGGTGTTTCGTGAAGTGGATAGGCTTTGGACACCACCGCCTAAAATCGAATAGCGACAAACCTGTTATTGTAATAATAGAATTAAATAATAAAGAAAAAGTTGCAGACATTTTAAAGTCAGCAAGCAATTTGAAATATATTGTCGAATATAAAAATAAAGTATATATAAATCGGGGTTTAACATTAGCACAACGTGAAAGTAGAAAATTGCTTCTAAAAAAAGAGATAGTTTAGATAATGGTGATAATGACCAGCCCTTTCGGTATATTGTCAAAAATGAGTCAATTGTCAAAGCCAAGAAAAGTGAAAAAGCTAAAAATTAGTTCATTATCTAGTGTAAATAAAAAACAAATCTGAAAGTATTTTCCCATTCTATAAAAAATATAATTATCTTAAGTTTTGGTATACGAATTCTACATCTTTAGTAAATAAAATAGCAGAGTTTGAAACAAAAATTATGATCGGTTCACCAGATATCATACTTATTTTTGAAACATGGTTCAAAAATAATTCAATTATTAATATTAACAACTACAACTGCTTTAACAATAGTAGAACAAATAAACAAAATGGAGGTGTTGCAATTTTTACAAAATATGATGTAATTGCTTATGAAGTATCAGTTTCACCTTTATATAAAGAAGTTGAACAAATATGGTGTAGCATTGTACTTCATAAAACAAAAATATTAGTTGGATCTATATACGGACCACCAAACAGTACTGACCTAATAAATAATGCAATTAATAAATTAACAAAAACTGCAAAAAAGAAAGTAATAAATGGAAAATACTCAAATGTAATGATCGTTGGTGATTTTAGTTACCCAAATATTATATGGAATGAAGACGGAACTATTAAGCTAAAACGAAACTGCCAAACAAGCAGAGCATTTATTAATAATTTGCAAAACAATTATTTACATCAAATAGTTAGCAA